CAATTATTCAATCGGATCTTGAAAGGACTAGGCCGACGCGTTAAATCTTTCATTCCTTGAAGCTAAATTCAATCTCTGTCACGAATTTATTGCGTTTAATTGCAAACAGAAATACATTGTTAAAGCCATAATCTAATTAAGGAGAAACGTGTTACTATTTCTCTGCTAATTAGCAAAATTAGTTATAGATTATAAGAATAATCGATTCGAAGATCACGAACTGCCATGAAATATCTACTTAATTATAACAACTGATTGGAAATTATATTTTTCTTTTGTTGCATTATTTAGGTGGGATTGGGCATTGATGATAAATATTTATGAAAAAATTCTATAACATTTTTTAACAGGAGTAGAGCTAAATCCTTTCCTTGTTTCCTGTTTAGAATTGAGCTTCCGGTTGCTTCTAATATCTACATCAATTCCGTGATCTTGACGTCTCCGAGTGAACCCTGAAACTTTATTCACTCGTTATTTTGTCTTCTCTCCCTATAGGAGTAGATAGGTTCACATATCGCCCGGTTCACACACCTCCTCGGCCTTCTTAACAGGAGTAGAAGTTTATGCTTGTATCCTGTTTACGATTGGGCTTCCTGTTCCTTCTATTTCAACTATATATTCATTTTATATCCGACTGAGCTCTGGAATGTTATTCACAATTATTTATTTTTTCTTCCGAAGAACAGTAGATAATTTCGCTTATCATCCGGTTTACATTCCTCCACGGTATTTGAACAGGAGTAGAGATTTATCCCTTGTTTCCTGTTTAGAATTAGATTTCATGTTCCTTCTAATGCCTACTTTAATTCTATACTCTTAACATCTCCGACTGAGCTCTGAAGTATCCATTAATTATTTATTTCTTCTCTCTCAACAGGAGTAAATAGGTTCACACTCCTCGGGCTTTTGAAAAAGCGTAGAGGCTTATGCTTTTTTTTTTCTTTTCTTGTTTAGGATTGGGTTTCCGGTTCGTTCTAAAGTCTCTTCTTGGCCTGACTTCGCGAATAAAGGTTTATGAAATGGGCCTGCTCACGTCGACTGCAAGCAGGGTGATGGCTGACTAGGCCGAACCGGAACAGGCAAGTCCGGCCTCAGTGACTGCAATTAAAGGGCAGGTCTGGTATAGCTGCTGCGGCTTCCCGATCCTTCCTCTCACTGCGTTTCTCCTTCAGGTTGGCCCTGCGAAAAGGTGGAGACGGCCTGGTGAACAGTGGAGCGCCAGGCTTATAACGCTCCCTTGGCGCACCTCTGTCACAGTGGCCAATGGAGAGTACGTCATACAGCGCTATCTTGGGTTCGCGATGGTCACCCCATTCTGGAAATGTGCCCTGCCTAGCGTAGTTGTGACTTCAGCAACATGGCTTCAATGCTGGCGATTTTCGCCTGTTCGAGGACCTCAACGTTAGTGACGTAGTCACTCCAGTGAATGTTGAGGATGGTACGGAGACAGCGTTGATGGAAGCGCTCAAAGTGTCGTAGGTGGTGGCGGTATGTTACCCATGACTCAGAGCCGTACAGCAGGAGGGTGAGTACGACGGTTCTGTAGACGCTAATCTTTGTGCGCTTCTTCAAATGCTTGCTGCTCCAGACTATTTTGTAGAGTCTGCCAAAAGCGCTGTTTGCCTTGGCCAGACTGTTGTCTACTTCCCTGTCGCTCTTGGCATCCGATGTGATGGTACACCCCAGGTAAGTGTAATGGTGAACTGCTTTCAGTCTGCATTCAGTCTGCTTTCAGCTCAGTCTCACCGATGGTGATTTAGGACTGGGTTTCCGGCTCGTTCTAAAGTCTACTGCCACACTATACCTCTAACCTCGCCGATTGAACTCTGAAATTTTATTCCCTAATTAAAACTTGACCTCTTCACGTCTAGAGTTAGCTGTTAGCTTTTCTGCATAGGCCCAAGAAGTTCACTTCTTATCGTTTCTGTTATGAGGTCCACCATTTTCATACAAGTGGACTCTACCAGTGTGTACTTGGACTGCTGCCGTTAAATACCTAGAGTCAGTCAGAGCTTAGAGCAGTGACTGAGATTGAGTTGTAGGTAGAGTAATAGCGTGAGGTAACCGCTTGTAGAAGTCACAGTTACAAGCACGTAGACTCTAAGGAAGTCCTACTTCGAGACTGGATTTACCAGACTGTATATATATATATATATATATATATATATATATATATATATATATATATATATATATTGCTACTAACCACGTTTCTGGATCTACTAACCGTATTACCAATTGTATTATTGTGTAAATACATTTATTTGTTATATTTCATTCCTGCGGTTGTCATTCATTGGAGACCGAATTTCCTCTCAGAATCCACAACTGTTTCTTACACTAATACAACATGCAGGAACCCTCTTCCTTGAGTGGCTCTTAGGCTTTGTATTTGGAGAATATTAGTAAAAAATTTTAATCATAAAATTTATCCGTTGTAAGGTTTAACAACCTGCTAATATAGACGCTTACTGATGACATGGTAATATAATCGGTTATTGATGACATGGAGTTTTAGGAGGGATAGACAACGGTTGACCCATATCCTGAAGAAGTTAAATAGTAGCATTCAAGGAAGGACACACGAGGGATTCAGTTCCACAATGATTGGGATAAAAAACTGCCAGAACTTTCTTCTTATATCTAGAATACGGAAATGAGGGTGATTTGATTCCGTTGAAGTGAGATGGTATGACCTAACGGTAAATGTGTGAGTTGTTGTAAATAAAGAATTGGACTTATCTGAACATATGCCATGGAAATAGCGACATATACAAAGCCTAATAGCCAATTAAGGAAGAGGGTTACTGCGTGGTGATGTATTAGTGTAAGAAACTGTTGTGGATTCCGAGAGGAAATTCTGTCTCCAATGAATGACAAACGCAGGAATGAAATATAAATGTATTTACACAACAATACAATTGGTAATACGGTTAGTAGATCCAGAACGTTGACGGGGGGGGGGAAGAGTCTTCTATTCTCTTTTTAATCATTTCACCCCAAGCAAAGCAATAAAGCCGCTAGGACGCAAAGGGGGTTACTGAGTGTTAGTGAATATGAGAAGAAAATTACTATTAAGTAGCGAGGACTATAAAAGAATAAGAAGTCAGAAGACAACGATATTAACATTTAATTTTTTGAAGATTAAAGTTGACTGGGAAACAAGAAGCAGGAAGAAAGTTTCACGAGCCATTTCAACTGAAAATGACGAGTCCTAGATAATCATTTTGCATCATTTTAGTCTGTTTCATCATCATCATCATCATTATCATCATTATCATCATCATCCCTTCGACTCATTGAGGATGCCTAAGTGCAGTAGAACCAGACAACCTCCTCCAGGATAATCTGTTTGATGGTAGCTCTCAGAAGTTCTGTCATTGTCATGTCCGTCCACACTTTGATGTTGACTGAGCAGCATTTGTGTTACCATCTCCGTTCAAAACCGCTTTCAACACTGCCGTGCATAATTGTCTTGCGGGGGCTGTGATGCTGTGTGACGGGACCAAACGGTAAATGTGTGAGTTGGTGCAAATATAGATTTGGACTTTCTGAACATTTGCCGTAGAAACAGTAACAGGCTGGCAACGTTGTCGGGGGGAAAAGTGTCCTTTTTTTCACTTTTTATTCATATTACCCCAAGGAAGGCAATAAAGCCGCTAGGACGCAAGAGGTTACTGAGTGTTAGAGGATACGTGAAAAAAAATACTACCATCAAGGAGAGAGGACAGTAAGAGAATAAGAAGACAGAAGATAACGATTGACATTGCATTTAAATTTTTGAAAATCAAAGTTGACTGGGAACCACGAAGCTGGAAGAGAGTTCCACAGGCGAGAAGTGTGAGAGAGTGAACTGTTAGCATAGAACTTACTGTTGCATCTAGCCATTTCAACTGCAAAAGAACGAGACCTTGCCGCCAATCTAGCACTGTACTTAAATTAATAAAGACTGTAGAGTGTTTCAGTAGGTGAGTCTTTGGACACTTCAATCTTGACGTCTTCAAGTCAAGGATCACTCGTTATCTTTCTTCCTCATTCACATAACCTGCGCCATTTCTTCCCTTTATTTCGCACACCGCATTCACCGTTAATATTCCAATTGTAACCCGCCATTTTAAGTCTCGCTGGAGCTTTGCGTTGGGTCATTTTTTTTAAAATTCCTTTTCTACACTGTGTATCCTGGTGTCACAGCTTTCCCACGATAACAATTCTTGCATAGGATGCACTTTCTTCAGGAAGAAGAGAAATTCATCCGCCCGGGATACAAGGTGCACTTCTTTTTAAGGTCTTCTTGCGTAGACTTTAAAGACACATTAAGGACGGCAATGGATATTATGGGTATTCGACGCTGGGAGGAATTACTTCCTTGATTTTAATTCAAACTGCAAGCTACATCGCACTAGCCTTTCTGTTGGCTCTTACTCGTCCTTCGTTCATTTCCCGCATTGAAAAAACTTGTCACCCGCAAAGTACTTAATTGTAGATGGGCATCACAGAAAAAGTGGCATTTTGGAAAGTCTCTGGTATGTTTTCTGGCTGTAAAAATGTCGCCTTTATCTAAATTACTCAAGTCTTTCCTTTTATCCATAAATGCAGTATTGAACACCTACTCAAAGCCGAATTACCGGCTTATATACATCTGATACTGGTATATATAGTTATAAGAAGACAATTGCTATCATTCTTGCTGCCTATTGATGATCGCTATATTTTGGATTACCAGTGTATATAATCAGAGCCGTATCTATATATGCTTCCAGGTAGAAATTTAATTTCAGTGAGAGAGCGTCCGATGTATAATAAATTCTCTTTTTATGAATGATATCTGGAGTCCTTTATTAATAAGAGCCTTTTCTCCAGGTTTCTCATTTTAGAAAGATCCAGAGCATTATTCTATATGAGTGTTTGCGAGAATATACTGTTGATTGAGGAAGAAAGAAATTGAAATGAAATTTAAAAAATGAATCTCAATAGAAAATATAAACTTAAAAATGGTTCTCTTAGATGCGAGAGGTTACATTTGAATAGGAAGGAATATAGGAACGAATAAACGAACGATTCTGAATTGTACAGAAAGAGAGGGAGGAAAAATGGTTAAGCAGGAGGGAATAAAAGAGATATAAAAAAGAAAGAAAGAAAACACTCACTTGTACTGGAAGAGATGAAATAAAAAGGTTACATGTAAGAAAGAAAGAAAGAAGGAAATGAAGTACTTTTATAAAGACTTTCGATTATAAAGAGAATGAATGGTTACATGTAAGAAAGAAAGAAAGAAAGAAAGAAAATGTAGTAGTTTTATAAGGACTCTCGATTATATACAGAAGGAATAAAAATGTGGTTTGAAAGAAAGAAAGAAAGAAAGAAAGAAGGAAATGAAGTACTTTTATAAGGACTTTCGATTATAAAGACAATGAATGTTTACATGTAAGAAAGAAAGAAAGAAAGAAAGAAAGAAAGAAAGTTTAGTAAGTTTCAGTTGTAAAGAGGCATTAGGAACAAAAACAATAGCAGGAATAAAGAAAAGATAAGGGTGAGATTATATGCGAAAAGTTATGCCACAGGGAGAAAGAAAGAAATAATAAATAAATAAATAAATATATAAAGAAAGAAAGAAAGAAAATGTAGTAGTTTTATAAGGACCCTCGATTATATACAGAAGGAATAAAAATGTGGTTTGAAAGAAAGAAAGAAAGAAAGAAGGAAATGAAGTACTTTTATAAGGACTCTCGATTATAAAGAGAATGAATACAAATGTGGTTTTGAAGAAAGAAAAGCAGAAAAGAAAGAAAGAAAGAAAGAAAGAAAGAAAAGAATGTAAGAAAGAATGAAATGTAGTAGTTTTGTAAGGACTCCATTATAAAGAGAAGGAAGAAAAAATGTGCTTTGGAAGAAAGAAGAAAAGAAAGAAAGAAATTTCAATTTGACAGTAATAGAGTGAATAAATAAGGTGACATGAAAAAAAGAAAGAAAGAAAGAAATTGATTTTAGTAGAACTAAATTGTAGAGACACGTAGCGAATAAAACATTAATAGAAAATATAATCTCAGACTGATTCTCCATAATTCACACAAAACGAGGCGCACTGAGTGAAAAAAGCGCGCGATCGAGTGAGAGAAAGGGAGATAGTTAGATAAAGAGACAAAATTGAGATAAAAAGCAAAAAAAAAAAAAAGGCAATAATGCATGAAATTACGCAGAATTTATTGCACAGGAATAAAAAATCGAACATGAAAAGAAAAAAAAAGAGATAATTAATAATACAGAAAGAAAGATAAGTTATTAGAAGCACCTAAAAAGATTTCAACATGTAGACACGAATATGTCAAATATGAAAAGCCAGAAAAATAAGAAAAAATAATGGAAGAATATGAGGATAGATTAGAATGATTCCTGATGATGTGTGAGCAAAAAAAAAAGTTTACAATTTGACCCAATACAAAATATACACTTGACGCAAAGCTGGTCTGTACTTGGGACACTCAACTGATGTTAATATTGATTCTACCTCTTGTATATTCGTCTCTTTTCGTAGTGATACCTAGTAAGTGTTATCAACCAATCATCGATTGATCAGTTCTAGAACTTCCGTGGGGAAATGAAAAAATATTTCCAGCATTAAAATACATGCAGAATTGGAAATCACGATAAGTAAGCTTGAATGTCTCCCGAAAAAAAAAAATTGCAAAAAAGTCTCATGTCACTGTTTCATCTACTTTGGCTTCACTTAAATATTTTTTTTTTAATTATTTAATCGGTAATGGCAATATTAACCGTTTCCTTATAAGGAAACATTCAGCATTCAGTAGCCAGAGTTACTCGAGTTACGCTTTTCTTCTCGCCTTGGACATTGAGCTGGATTAAAAGTGTAGTATTTGCTTTCGGCTGGAAGAACTGCATTTCTCACTCACTTGTGTCTCTGTGTGAGGACAGAGCGCAAGTGAAAATATTATTAAGCGTCCAGTCTCGGGGAACGGCTGCAGTATCGCCCAGACGAGTTGACAACGTGTACGTCTTCTGTGTCTGACTTCTGTTGAACTCTCTGCTTTGGCAGAGAGGAACCCGGACGAAGCTTTGCCAAAGGCAAAGTTTCGTCCGGGAGGTAGATAAAAATGACTTTGTGCCCTGAACCCGTCTAGGCGGGTTCAAAGGGAATATTTTTGGCCGAGCCTACGGGCTCGGATAAACCCACGTTAAACTCGGCCTTGTGCCACATACATTCTTCGTGGGGGGGACTGTTAAATACCGCAGTATCGCCCTCATTGCACTTTCTTTCTACCCAAATCGAACCAAATACCTGTCAAACGAACATTTCTCTTAATAATAATTTCAAAATGATTTAGTAGACGATGTTATTTTATTTATGGTAAATGGATTTTTGGCGATTGCTTTAATCGGTTTCCGTCGTTCGAATGATTGCGGCTTTGTCGTAGTCACCATAAATTCTCGGCCTTTTGACTGGGATCAAAGTGTAGTATCTGCCAGGGTACTCGGTTTTAAATGTGGATTGGAAGAAAATAAGAAAACAGATACTATACAACTATAGATAGGTAAACTATACAGGTTAATTCAAAAAGAAAGAACACTTATCGAAAATGTAATAAAAACAAATGATAACTGGTATCTGTCTATATTTCTGAGATGAGGTATCATGTACACTATTTACATTATTCAGACTATCGTCCTCATCTTTTTTTTGCCATTTTTATCACAACGTTTCTGTCCTGTGAGTATCAGATTTTCCATGTCTTCTTTTCTCGTATCCGGGCATCTCTTAATAAGATTTTTTCATATAGGAAGAAAATGAGTAAATACCGAAACTGAGGTTCGAGCGTGACACTTTGGACTTATCAATATTTGTTTTTCGCCAGAAGTGTCAAGCTCAAGGACACATGACACGGTGGATAAAGGCGTTAGTTAGTTCCATGGACAGGACCCAAAGAGTGCGAGTTCAATACCTGGTTAAGGCGGTGGAGAACTTGGAGAGGGGAATTAACAGGAGATAACTGACAACTGACATCCATTAGACATGGCACGTGGAACTAGAACAGTCTATCCCAGTGAGCGAAATAAAGGGTTCAGTTCGACATTCCAACCACCTGAAGAAGGCCGGAGCGTGCAACGGCCGAAATATTGTAATAAATATGGCGACGAAGATGAGGACAATAGTCCACATAATGTAAATAGTGTAAATGCTAACTGGACATGAAAAGGTTCAAAGTTTATTAAGGTTGTTCAACATATATGCACTCAATATGGCGCGACAGACATCGAGACAGTATCCCTCACGATTCATGTCTCAGATCCTGACTGAATAAGCGGAACAAACTTTTGGAGCAGAAAGGAACCTCAGGTGTTTCAAAATTATTTTTCTTTGGCTGTGGATGTAAACTGTGGATATTCACAGATTCCTAACACTATTTATACTATCTCGTCTGCTTTTTGAGCAGAAAGGAACCGGACGAGGGGTGCAGAATCTCGTTCAGGGTGAATGACCTACCCTGATCTCGTTTTTTACGAGTTATACGGGCATATTTTTGGCTGAGGCGGGCTCAGGAAACCCACGATAAAAATGACCTTGTGTCGCATGCAACCCTCGTGGGGTGGCTAGATACTGAATCAAGCCGATCTTTTTCGGCTTGACGGTCGTCCTCTGCTTTGAGCAGAAAGGAACCCGGACGAGGTTCCGAAGGGCAGAATCTCGTTCGGGGTGAATGACCTACCTGATCGTTTTTATGAGTTATCGTTTTTGGCTGAGCCTACGGGCCTGGAAACCCACGATAAAAATGACCTTGTGTCGCATGCAACCCTTGGGGGTGGTTGAGCCGACGGGCTCTGGGAAAACGGACGAGGTTCACGATCGGCAGAATCTCGTTCGGGTAAATGACCTACCCGATCTCGTTTTTGTGGCGATAAAAATGACCTTGTGTCGCATGCAACCCTCGTGGGGGGTGGTTAGATACTGAATCGCCGATCTTTTCGGCTTGATGGTCGAACTCTCTTTTTGAGCAGAAAGGAACCCGGACGAGGTTCCGCCGATGGGCAGAATCTCGTTCGGGGTGAATGACTCTACCCTGATCTCGAAGTGTTTTTTTTACGGGCTCAGGAAACCCACGATAAAAAAATGACCTTGTGTCGCATGCAACCTCGTGGGGGTGGCTAGATACTGAATCAAGCCGATCTTTTCGACTTGATTTACGAACTCTCTGCTTTTGAGCAGAAAGGAACCCGGACGAGGTTCCGCCGAATGGCAGAATCTCGTAAAAATGACCACCCTGATCTCGTTTTACGAGTCATGCAAAGATTTTTGGCTGAGCCTACGGGCTCAGGAAACCACGATAAAATGACCTTGTGTCGCAAACCCTCGTGGGGGGTGGCTAGATACTGAATCAAGCCGATTTTTTCGACTTGACGGTCGAACTCTGCTTTTTGAGCAGAAAGGAACCCGGACGAGGTTCCGCCGAATGGCAGAATCTCGTTCGGGTAAATGACCTACCCTGATCTCGTTTTTTACGAGTCATACGGGCATATTTTTTGGCTGAGGAAACCCACGATAAAAATGACCTTGTGTCATGCAAACCCTCGGGGTGGCTGGAGATACTGAATCAAACCCACGAGGTTAAAATCTCTGACCTTTTGCGCAAAACTTTTTGGACGAGGGCCGACAAAAGGGAGATGCAACCCTCGTGGGGGTGAATACCGAAGCCGATCTTTTCTGACTGATGGTCGAATCTCGAGGTTTTCGTACGGTGGTCGAACTTCGTTTTTTGAGCAGCTGAGCCTACAGGCTCAGAAACCCACGCCGAAAAATGACCTTGTGTCGCATGCAACCCCTCGTGGGGGGTGGCTAGATACCGAATCAGGCCGATCCGACTTGATGGTCGAACTCTGCTTTGGCGGAAGGTTCCGCCGAAGGGCGAATCTCGTTCGGGGTGAATGACCCTGATCTCGTTTTTACGAGTTATACGGGCATATTTTGGCTGAGCCTACGGGCTCAGGAAACCCACGATAAAAAATGACCTTGTGTCGCATGCAACCGTGGGGTGGCTGATCAAGCTAGACTCTGCTGAGCAGAAAGGAGACGGACGGTTCCGCCGAAGGAAAACTGTTCAGGGGTGAATGACCTACCCTATCTCGTTTTTACGAGTCATACGGCATATTTTTATTGAGCCTACGGGCTCCAGAAACCCAATAAAATGACCAGGTCGCATGCAACCCTCGTGGGGTGGCTAGATCTCGCCGATCTTTTCGACTTGATGGTCGAACTCTGCTTTTGAGCAGAAAAAGACGGACGAGGTTCCGCCGAAGGGCAGAATCTCGTTCCGTAAATGACCTACCCTATCTGTTTTTACGAGTCATACGGGCATATTTTTGGCTGAGCCTGCAGGCTCCAGGAAACCCATAAAAATGACCTTGTGTCGCATGCAACCCTCGTGGGGTGGCTGATATCTGAATCAGCCGATCTTTTCGACCTGATGGTCGAACCCTCTGCTTTTGAGCAGAAAGGAACCCGACGAGGTTCCGCCGAAGGCAGAATCTCGTTCGGGGTGGAATTACCCCATCTCGTTTTTACGAGTTATACGGGCATATTTTTGGCTGAGCCTACGGCCTCAGGAAACCCACGATAAAAATGACCTGTGTCGCATGCAACCCTCGTGGGGTGGCTAGATACTGAATCAACCGATCTTTTCGACTTGATGGTCGAACTCTGCTTTTGAGCAGAAGTGAACCCGACGAGGTTCCGCCGAAGGGCAGAATCTCGTTCGGGTGAATGACCTACCCTATCTCGTTTTACGAGTTATACGGGGCATATTTTTGGCTGAGCCTACGGGCCAGGGAAACCCAACGATAAAAATGACCTTGTGTCGCATGCAACCCTCGTGGGGTGGCTAGATACTGGAATCAAGCCGATCGACGACGGTCGAACTCTGCTTTTGGAGCGAAAGGAACCCGGACGAGTTCCGCGGCTTGATGGTGAAACCTACCCTGATCTCGTTTTTACGAGTTATACGAGCATTTTTTGGCTGAGCCTGCGGCCAGGAAACCCTGATAAAAATGACCTTTATGTCGGCGCAAGGGCAGTGGGGGTGGCTTCGATACTGAATCAAATCTTTTCGACTTGACGGTCGAACTCTGCTTTTGAGCAAGAAGGAACCCGGACGAGGTTCCGCCGAAGTAGAATCTCGTC